TTCTTGGAGCTGTCCAGATTCAGGTCAGTTTTCATTATGCTTCAGGTTTTTATTTATTTACCTAGCCTACGAAGCTCAAATGAAGTTGAAAGTTTGAGGATAACTCACTTTATATGTTGACTAAATGCTCCCAAAACCGTTTTGGAAATGTCTTTGTGGTTTGGGAGTTATGGTTTTAAAATTAGGGCTAGTTCCTGAGAATTTTGGTAATTTTGTGATAATTTTCTAATTTAGGGTTATTTTGTGATATTAAGCTTTGGGGAGTATTAAAATGTAGGAGAAACTCTGGCAAAATTTTTAAAAATGGTTTGGAGGGGTTTAGAGGCCATTTGGGCCGTTTTGGGGTGGCTGGGTGCACAATGCTACATGTTGTGGGCGCCCAACATGCTGCAGCAAGCCCTGTGAACGCAGCATGGGGCACTGGCAGCCCTGCGCACCCTATGCACACTGTGCAGCCCTGTGCGTGTTGTGTGCGCACGGTTGGTGTCTTGGTGCCCACATGCTCGCACGGTTGAGCCAAGTATGCGCCAAAATTGGATATTTGACCTGTTTTTCTGATTTTTAGTCATTTTAAGCTGTTCTAAGTTTGAATTTGACATTTTTAACATATCTTACCGAATTTTGCTATTTTCAGCCAAATGACTCTTTTTAATGGAATATTTTTTTTAAAGTAAAATCTTTAAGTTATGGAAAATTTGGAAAAATGGTGTTTTTAGAGGCGTTAAATGAAAAGTGTAAGTTGTTGAACCATTTTAGGCTATAGTTTGAGTTATTTTAGAAGGAAAGGAACGAATTCATTAATCACAAAACTAATGATAATACATTTAAATACCCAACATTATAGTTGTTCACATCGGATCCACAAAGAGGAACCCCGAAGTCATACTTTCTGTCATATGGTGCGAGGTAAGTAGAATATCACCCGTATCATCATAATAATTGTGCAAAGTACATTTGTGATACTTGATTATGTGATGTATATGTATAATGCATAAAGTATGCACATGGTACAAAATACAAGAAAATGATATATAAGGAATGAGTTGATAAACATTCGACAAAGTAATAAAAGGAGTGATAATTCGTAGTGATTAGTAAAGAGGCTAGAACAATCCTGATGGGAATAGTAAGGACCACTAAGTCTCTGAGAGACATATGATATTTACTTAGCCACAAGGTCTGAGACCACTAAGTCTTTTGGAGACATATGATATTTATTTGGCCACAAGGTCTGGGACCACTTAGTCTCTGGGAGACATATGATAATCATTGTGAAGGCCATAAGGTATGGGACCACTAAGTCTCTAGGAGACACATGATGCTATTAATAATGGCCACAATGTCTAAAAGAAGAAAGAAAATGATATAGCCACGACAATTGTGCATACAAGTGATGAAATTAAAAGGTAACAAAGTGAATTATTAATGTTATACGAAATGGAAATGGAATGATAGGAAATGCTGAAGTTAAGATGTGATGTTATATGTTCAAATTACTTATTCATGCATTTATTTTACTTACTGGGGTTTAGCTCACTTATTTATGGTGATGCAAATGAAGACACATCCTGGCATTACATGTACATTGTTTTGGTGGTTGGCTGGCGTCATCCTTAGTATCCGGACTTTTGCATATGGACGATGCTGGCCTATTTGAGGCAATGAGTTACTAACTATTTACTGTGCTCTTATTTTTGTTTGTAAGAATTGTCGGATCTATTTTTGGGATATGTATTATACTGTATATATGGGACATCAGTCAAAAGAAATACTAAAATCATGTTTTTGTACCATTGCGCAAAGAAAGTCTTAAAAAGTTCAAATTTGTCCCACATTTTAATGTTACCAATCTAAAGAAATCTCAAGCTAAAGTTAAAAACAAGTCTTCAAAGAATAACAACACCTAGCATAACTTGGTAATTTTAAGGTTAGACTAGGTGGGTGTTACAATCCTAACATCTAGATGTTTGTTTGTTCTGTCCCTTCCTTCCATTAATTTCTTCTTGTACAACGTTAATTAACATTGTTTATCAGTTAGGCAATTATGTTCGACATATCATCACAATGAATGAGGATTAAAATATATATGAGAGAGAGAGAGGCGTATGAAACATGTAAAGCTATATTCAAGTAGGAATCTTCTAATATGACTGTAGCAAAGTACTGTCCTCCTAGATAGCTAAGCCAACAATGGTAGTGGTCAAATATACACATGACAATGGTAATATCCAATTTGTACTTGGTTAGGTAGTGAGAGGGGTAGTCGGGTGGAGTGAAATTCTGGATCATCTTGATCTTGGAGGTGGCCTGAAAAGTTTTGATTAAAAAATGGAAATCAATTAATTAGTTTGACAAACAATGTATAAGCAAATTCATAACTAGTAGTTAAAATCAAATTGTACACATCAAGTCCCTAAATAATGAACATGCAGAGGTAAACAACAGAATAATTAAAATAGTTTATTACTATAGATCTAGTGATGCTATACAATCATACAAATAGATTACCCATAAATATGACAAACAGAAATTACGACTACAGAATTAAAAGTATGTTGCTATAATAAGTTTTGGTGATTTCTAACATATACACCACTTAGTAACACTACTGTTGGCAAGAAATTAATGGTAATTAATTAATGCTAGACTCTAATATAGGCCAAAAGGCAAACACAAAAAGGAAAAAGTCTTCTTCAGTTACCAATTTCAGACCTTGCCTATAATTATATTATCATATTATAATAAATATAATTATATCAATATAATATAATATATAATATATTATAAAATAATAATTACAATATAATATTATAATTATAATATTATATTA